AAACTCGTCGAAGTTGCTTTTTGTCGTGTGGAATAACGGCTTTTTCGCAGGTTTTTCGACCGTTTCACTTCGCTTTTTCGCTGTTTTCCCCACTATTTATCACCCCTGGTACCATTTTAGACCGAGTACCAAATTATCGTGCCTTCATGCCTTAAAAAAAGAACTGACTTTGATCCGCTCGTCAGCGCTTCTCTTCCGTTCCTGGATATCTGCTTCTCTTTGCATTTCAGCATCCTCGTCGTCTTCACCTTGCTCTCTTTCGCTGTCCTCGTTCTCTTCTTGGATCTCGTCCTGTAACAGATCATTCTCTTTCAAAGGACATTGAAACACTTGAAAAAACGTTTTTCTTCTTCAAAAATAGACTCATTAATCAGACAAAGCGAATATGTTCTTCTCCAAGGTGAACACATCCTCCATTGTTCACCTATACATTACAGTTAATGATCAAGTATGACATGTGATTTAGTGGTGACAGGTCGCGGTCGACTAACGTATGATAAATGGCCTACGTTTGCATGGCGCGACTGCAGCCAGTCTATTGCGGCTGCAAGTGCCGCTAATCAATCCATTTTATCTGCCAAAATTCGCGCAGGAAATCCTGTTTCGCCACACGACTTCCAGTTCCTGTCACATCTACGGTGTAGCAAGCAAAAAAATATGCCCCGAGAAAAAATTGAACTCGAAGTCAAAAGCTTCTTCAGGAACAGCAGTATCGGGCAGCACTTCTCTCCATTATGTCTGAATCTGACGATAGGACGGCCCCAGGGGTACTACGAAGACTGATATCGGAAAATGAGCAATATCAATGTAGATGGAGAAATGACTTACTTATACAAGCATATTACAAAGAAGTACAGAAGGAACGCTAAAAGATGGGCTTACAAAATGTAAAAATAATGTTTTTGCTTAGGCCACGCTTCATCACTAAAGCTTTCCTCGAGCTTTCATCACGCTAATCACATCGCTGCGTCCACAGCTTACCAGCAATGCCTCGCGATTCTCGGAGCTGTTCGGCTCAGCGAGGGGACCGAGCATTTTGCTAGTTCACTGGTTTCTTTTACTTTTTCCGAATAATTTACATGAGGTGGGGTGGTTTAGTGACAAGTGGGTGCGCTTACCATTCGCGCGGTCCTGGGTTCGAATCCCGGGTCGACTCCCGCCCAGGCCAACCAAGCCTTCTACCCCCGGGACGGTAAATTGGTACCAGATTCGTCTGGGAGGATAAAACACTGACTTGTACATCGGCTGGCCCCCGCAAGTCATTGTATAGGCCACATCGCATTCAATAAGCCAGTGCTAAATGGAAACAGAATGCGTTCCTCATCCCACAAGAATACTGGTCATAGCCGGAGACACTATCTCTTTTTATTTTGCCAACTTACACGTTTCAATGTGAAACCTGTGGATCGTTGTCAAGTGCACACGAAGCTCGAGCTATTTCTCACCTTGACAAGAGTTAACAAGTCTCCACGGGAGGGGGAAACCAGTCAAGTGCCCCCACTAAGCCGCACAGCGCTGCAATAGATATGTTCGGGATCTTAGGCAATAGATATTTTCGGGATCTTAGGAAACGATAATCGCTTTAAGGTGCTATTCTGCGAGGTTGTCTTCTACCCCAGTTAGTTTTTGTCCACACATGAGTTATACCTAATGTAATAAATACACTACATTTCTCACGATTTGCTACATGAATCACGAGTGGGTCATAACGAGCTTGGACCCACACGCGACTCTAATTAGGTCCTCATGATATCTTCCCCTGTACTGTTGCTGTCCTTCAAGCGACTTCTACATGCGAGACAAACTCCTTTAGGGAGGCTGTGTCCATGAGTTTGAACTCTCTGCGCTTCCCGACTGGAACACAAAATTGGGAGAGTTTCTGCGGATCGCGCTCTCTAGTCCAAGGAACAACCTCTGGATAGTTTGAAATCGAAGACTCTGTCTCTAAGAGAAGGAAATCAGTCAAGAAATGTGGAAACACTAGCGACCGTTGGCAAGCTCAAAAATCCATCGTTAATAACCTACTCTTACATGTCTGTCTACGAAGGAAATGACCAACAATGAGAAACAGTTACGCAGTATAAATCGCAGAAGTTTCCCAAATTAAAACAGTCACAAAGCTAAACCCAATTGGGTACCTGCTTATCATCATCGTTTTCGACGTGACCACGATCTTCTTCTTCGCCTTCATACTCTGCTGCATCATCCCTAAAGATCTGGGCATGAGAATGAAGTCCAAGGACAGACGATTTGGTGGCTATTCTAGCTCCTACTGGCTACTACTGACAATAAAGGCACTTCTGAGGAGTTGTTCAGAAAGAGTACGATTCTCATAACACATTCAGTTCAAATTTCCACCCTTTTGTGACCAAAAATCAACCTGCTTATACCAGCACAGTTGGAACTACTTGGCAGCCGGAACAGAACCCAACAAGACGCGTGGTTTGCTGGGAGTTTCACAAAGCTTTCTGATTACTCGAAGCTTTTCAAAACCCCTCAGCAAACTTGTTCTAATCACTAATTCCAACAATACACGATTGTACAAACGAGAGATCAACAAAATCATTTGAAAATCCTGCTGGATAGATATACAGTTCCACTTACAGATGTCTATTGTGGAGTCTTTGTTCCGCAGCATCCGCTTCTCTTCCACCCGCAGCTTCCTCATCCGAAGAGTTCTCGTCATCCATATGATGTGCACGACTGAAAAATAAGCAATTTTCAGTCTTCAGAAGCTGGTAGTTGATCTCCTTGGCGCAATGGCGTTTGCTGATGCAAAGAGCCCCAATACCCTAATGATATACTTACAAAAGAGTGAAAGAGTAAAAAGGTATCCATTCCAAGATTTTCAAAACATTTTCAGGGTTACACCGCTTGCGCATTCCTGAGCAACAGGTCGGCGTGATGGGCAAAAATCCCCGATTTCTTCAAGGAAACGTGAGACTCTCTGGTAAAATTCTTAGTGGTCGTTTTAGCATGCTGGGAATCCACACATTCTGCACTTGTTCTGAAACAGAATATCATCTACTGAGCTAGTTTAACCTTGCCTTAATTTAAGGAGGTTTGAAGTCCTCCAGCGCGAGGCAGCAAAACCAAAATGAAGAGCATTGCTGAGGTCCAGAAACATTTCCATACTGACTCCGCAGTCAAAACTCTTTCCCAAAAAAAAGAAAAATATGAAACTACCGTGGCATTCCTGTGACATCTCGTTGTCCTATACCAGCACTGAGATTACCGGCTCGCAGTTTCCGATGCTGCACTTGTTGATATTCAAGTACATCACGATACTTCTTGCTAATCGAGCCAGCCAATGAACGTAAAAACCGTCGTTCTAGCTGAATAAATACAAATATCATAACCCAAATTCATTATGGACT